GAATATACTAAAAAGATTTGAATATAGACTTATTTTATAAAATTAATATATAAATGATTTATATTAAGAATAATAAAATGGTTTTTATATAAAACAAGACTATTTCTTATAAAGTATCCTTTCTTTAAGTAGATTACTAAATTACATTCTACTTATAAAAAAAAATAATTTTGGTTAACTATCAAAATTTTGTTTATCAAATTCATATCCTTAATATTAATAACTAACAATTCTGATACCTTCTCTCTCTCTATACTAAGTTTATTAATAATTCTTTTATTAAGAACTATATCTAATAGAAAAGTTTAAATATATTATTCCAATTATTTAAAATCTTAATCTACAGTATCTTATTCTCTATAATTTAAGGTATTTGTAATAATATTACTAACCCCTAACTAATATATAATCTCGAACCAGAAATTTAATAGAATTTCAGTTTATTCTATTTATCTCTAATTCAAAGTCTTTTTTGTTATAAAATATTCTAGTACCTTATAATTAGTATAAATTTTAATACAATAAAGCAAAGTAGTACATTCAGTATACTATATCTTGAATACTTTCATAATAATAAATATCTCTTTATTAAAGATAATATAGTTTATCTCAATTAGAAATATAATCTTAATAAAAAAGGCTATAGGGTACTATTAGCTATCTTTTTGAAGCTAGGAAAAGACTCTATTGACTATTTTATTAAAGATATTAGTTTCAATTATAGTCTGTTTCTCAATATAATAATATCTTAGTATAGGGGCATTCATCAAATATCTTTTTAATTCCTTGAAACTAATATTACAATTATTATTCTATAAAAACTTGATATCCTTTTTTATTAATTGAATAAGAAATTTAGTAATTCTATCGAAATCTTGAATAAATCAATAATAAAAGTTATAGAATCTGAAGAAGGATTGTATTCCTTGAACATTAATTAATAGCTTTTATTCTTTAATAATCTCAATCTTTTCAGAATTAACTTCTACACCATTGATATTGATAATGAAATCTAGATATTTGATCTTAGTAACTCCAAATTTGTACTTATTTATATTAATCTAAAAACTAGTTTTTTGTAAGTAATTGAGGATTTGAATAATATATCACTTATATTCTTTTTTGTTCTCCAAATAAATGAGAATATTATCTAAATAAACAATACAAGTAATATCAAGGAAATCGAACAGAATATCATTTATATATCTTTGATAAATAGCTAGATTATTTATTAAATCAAATAATAAGACTTTATACTTATATATTCTATATTATATGCGAAATATAATAAGATCTTTGGAATCAGAATACATTCGGATTCAATAAAAAGCTTAATGAATATCAAATTTGATAAAGATTTTAGCTTTAGAGATATAAACTAATATCTTGTTAATAAGTAGTAAAAGGTATTTGTTTTTTTTAATAATAATATTGAGATATTAATAATCTATACAGAATTATAGCTCTCTATTAGGCTTTATTACAAATAGAATTAATGCAATGAATAAAAAGAAACTGATTTTTATAAAATCTTTTTTTAAGTTATCCATAATATATTCTTTAATAATTAAAAGTTCTTTAATTGATATATTATAGATTAAACTTATTTTTAAAATTGTATCTTTTAGTATTTCAATATAGTAATTATAAGAAGTATATTCAAGTAATTTATTAAATCTGATTTTGGAGAAGATATCAATCCAGTTATAATAAATAATGAGAATCCGAGAACGAAGTTCTTTGAATTTGACAGATTCTATATTTCCTATATAATCTTTAAGAATATTATTGATTTTATATATACTAATATCAAAAACCATATTATTGTAATAATAAGTATATATTTTAAAAGCTTTAGTAATAATAATAGTGATATTCATTGAGTTATATAGAAAAGATTTAAAAGGATTAGAGTTAATAAGAATATAATTGAGAATAGTAGTTTTAGTGTCTACAGAGAGAATTAAGATATCCTTTTTGATATCTTCAAAAGGAACTGAAATTTCTTCGTTCTTATATTATTCAATCAATCTTTCCATTTTTCTAAGATTATCTCTAATATCCCAATTATATCAATTAGTGAATTTGGTTTAGAATATAAAAAAGAGATTAATGAAATTGATATTAAAGAATTGATTTCTTCAATTAATATTTACTTAATGCTTTTTATAACCACAAACTTCAAGATTTCTCAAAGAATTACAAAGGATATTGATTCCACTAAAGAAACTAAGTATAACTAATAGATTAATAGGTTAAATAAAAGTGTGATTATAGAATCGAAAAATAATATTATAAGATTAAAGCTATCTATTACCTAGAATTACATCTCTTTTTATATCAATCAATAAAAATAATATTTAAATAAAAATTCTACTATTTAGTTATAAGATTAGACATATAGTTTAAATAATAAAGGCCTCTGACTGTTTATTATAACCTTAAATATTAATATAATAGTTTAAGATAAATATAAAGATACTTATATATTTGAAAATTTATTATGTAAATTAAGCATTAATAAAAAAATAAATATTAATACTAATATCCATTAATATATAATAATGAACTTAGAAGCTATAGGTTTATAAATAATAAATAATAATAAAGCTATTATTTTCTATAAAATTTCTAAAATCAATATTCTTTATATATTGAAATCCTTAATAAGAGATTTTGCTAAGAATTAATCTTTTCCCAATTCACATAAATCAATATCGGAGATTGAATCCATTTCTAATTGATTCAGATTAATAAAAATATTTTCTTACATCTTATTAATTTCTTGAATCTTCATTGGATATATATAGTTTTTTATTCAATTAGAGGCTCTGTAAGTATAACATTTTCTAGAGTTTTTTAGAAAATAAGATTTTCGATTAAATAGAACCCTAAGGGTAATAAAGGGTTCTCGAGTAGATCCAAAAATAGTAGACTTTTCTTGACTAAACACTTTATTTGGTTTTAAAGATTTCGAAAATAATTTCTCTAAGTGTTAGAATAAGGTCTACTTTGAAATTAACAGATTCCTTTAATAAATAGTATATATCCTTATATCTATATTAATCAAATATGTAATATATATTTGGAAATTAGAGTAGCTATTTATAATAGTTAATATAATATTTTTGAAAGGAAAGAATATTTTAATAATTAATTCCCTATAAAGATTCCTTTTAAACTAATTCGATTCTACCACCAGCTTTAAGAATTAAATATAGAATTAATAAAATATAGAAAATTCCATTCTTAGATTTCTAAGTTCCTTAATTACTAATTCCAAATAATTGAATACTAAATATATACCTTTAAGGTAATTAAGGATATTATTAGAGATTCAGAAATCTTTGTATAATATTTTAAATTTTAAATGCCTTTATATTTCATTAATAGTTTATCAAAAGATTATTTTTATTTACAAATCTTTATTCAAATAATAATTAATATTATTCAAGAGTTTATTTTTAATAAATAATCTCTATATTTCGAATATAGGATTAATCCTATTATCTAAGGGTTTTAAATCTTTTACCTTAGTACTCAATTTAGCTTTGCTGGTTAGGGAGACTATAAAGCCATTATATATCTCAATTAAAAAAATAATTCCTATAGGATTTTTGAAGATATCTTTTTACTATAAATAGAATCCTAATAGATTCAATTTCATAACCCATCCAATTATTACTTATATACAATAATAGCTTTTATTATACATTCTTGATTTTAGTATCTCCCAAATACTATTTATTATAATTATATTGTTAGCATTTATAATATTCATAATATCTTATCTTAATAAACCGAAAGATAGGAAAACAAAAGGATCAAATTAATTGAGTTCTATTTCTTTGTTTTTAATATTTAAGATACTATTAAATTCTTATTGTAATTACTAATTTGGATTCAGATTTTCATTAAAAGTTTGGTTTTGTAATAATTAAATTCTATAAGAAAACATTTTATATCAAAAAAAACAAAAAGAATTTTGTTTTTTAAATATAAAAGGTTTCTACTTCTTCATTTAATAATCTTAAGAATATAACTTAAGCATAGTATCTTTTTTATTTAGAAATTCGAAAGTATAATACATTTAGGAATTTAAAAAAAATATATAATATAAATTAATATTCTATCTTTTATAAATAATTCAATAACTCAGATAAATATAACTATAAATAGATATTCTGTTTTTTATAAAGATATAAAGAGTTTGTTATAATATAATAACAACAAAATCAAGTCATAATAATAAAATGAATCAATTATTATAACTAAAGAATAATAAACTATTATATAAAGAATAAACCTGTAAAAGGCTTTTATAGGCCTAAAGGAAATTAGAAGGGAATCAAGAGGGGACCAAAGCGAAGCGAGATTTGCCCTGCCAGGTGGGGCAAATGGATGACTAATCTAGGCCTGAGGCCGGATCGTCACATTCTATGCCTTTGCAGAAACGCTCGAGCCCCGGACCTATGTAAGTTACAATATCCACCTTTCCAGGGACCTCTCAAAGGTCTTTGACCTCATTGGCCCTTAAGCCTTGGCTACATTCCAATCCAATCAATATCCCCAGATTTTATATTATCCAACCGAGTCCGATGCCCGAGGTATGTTCTGGTTATTTAATTCCCCGCGCGTGCGGGAATGGGATGAGATGGGATGATTACTGTATTTGGTGATATGCTGGAATTTAATTAAATTCATGTGACTAGAACTAGGGACTTGAAACTGGGAATTGGTGGCTTCTTGTGGTGGAAATGCGGGTGCGGGTTGGGATTTTGTATTTACATTTATGAAGTTGTATCTGTTTGTGAATTCTTGGAATCTCTCTTTCGATTTTGCATCTCATATACCATATTTCCTGCTAACACCTTGCATATATTGCTGTGTTTCTGATCTTGTTGCCTTGGATATCTACACCATAACAGTATACATATTTCCCCCAACCCACCCCGCAATCATTTGAACAGCCCTCCTCGTCTTAACCTTCCGAAATTAAAATGCCACTACCACCACAAACACCAATTATCATTGGCGTCGGCGATGTGATAAATCGTTCCCTGCAGGTTGAAGATGCGATTGAGCCGTTAGGACTTATGTTGCAATCTCTCGAGAAATCATTTTCAGATACCGGTATTTCCCATGATCGGGAGAAATTGGGAATATTGAAAGGAAGTGTGGATGATGTGAGAGTGGTAAGGAATTGGACATGGCCGTATGTGGATGTGTGTCAGAGTGTGTTGGATGGGATTCTGGGTGGGGGAAAGGGAGGGAGTGATAATTTGGGAAAGGAGGTGTATAAAGAGGAATCGGAACACGGGGGGAATTCGCCGGTGAAGATGTTGGATGAAGCGTGTCAGAGAGTGGGGAGGGGAGAATCGAAGGTAGCGGTTGTGGTTGGGGGAGAGGCGTTGGGAAGTTGTGAGTTTTTTTTCTTTTTCTTTTTCGTTTGGGCTTTCAAACTATTTTGGATGTTGGTAATGCGGATTGAGATGGATCCGAGTTGAGGAAGGGTATTGGTGTGATGATCTGGAGACGATGGAAATGAGGCACGGTGGGGAGACTGAGCAGGAAGCGAGGATGAGGAAAAAAGGAAAAGGGGGGGAGATGTGCGCACAGCACTACAACAAGCGATATCAATTGGGGTAAAATTATCTCTCAAGTGAGACGTGAGAAGATATCATCAAGCGGTAATACACGCTGATGTCGATAGAGCACACAGCATGAGAGGAGAGGCAATGATCCATAGCGAGGACGAAACCCAGTTTATAGGGGCACCCGGATTTGAAAAGGGAACTCATTACCAAGCATTTACTAATGGTTCTCATGAGCGTAGTGATTGCATCCGCATCAAAGACCGGTACATACCCCTCGCACTGGACACCGCCAGCCGGCGACCCAAGAAAGATTTTGGCTTTACCGAAAGGAGTTGAGAGTATGTATTATCTTTCCTTATTCTTCCGAACTGGGAATTATACGATGTTGCCCCTGGGGCTCCTTGGTTTGCTTCCCGTTTTGAACGCAAGGCGATAAAAGAAGATATCAGTCGAGATACAGGAGCATTAATATAGGTCCAATGTAAAGTCCAGCGACTTTTACGTTTGTAGAATATTGATTCCGACGAGCACGCACGACTGCGAAGAGATGATCGCGAAGAGGATTTGAATGAAGTTGAGGAAGATTTTGTATGATCTCGCACACAGTCAATCGCTTTATGAATACTCAGTGCTACAGATCACCGCTCTAAACTCTAAACTCATCTCATTCATCTGCTTCCTAAGAATCCTTACCTATGACTGATGCACCTCCCTTAGCACTAGGAACAATCCATCAAATCGGGCTCCCAATACACATCTACCCGCTGTACGAAAATGCATTTCGAGCCCATCGTCACCAATCCCAAGTAGATAACAATGCTGAATCTGCAAAATTATATGCCCAATTTGCTGCTGTGGCAGCTGGGAATGAATGTGCTTGGAATAGGGAATCTGCAGGAAAGTTAAGCGAGGAGAGCATTGGAAAGGTAGGGAAGGGGAATAGGATGATTTGTTGGCCATGTGAGTTACGCTTTTGGTAGTTGGAGAAGTAAACGGGAGATGAGATGAATGAACGTGTTAATGGATGTTATAGATCCCCTTCTAATGAATGCATTCAACAACGTCAATATGGCCGCAAGTTGCATCATTACTTCTGTTTCTTTGGCGACCGAGCTGGGGATTCCAGAAGATAGATGGATATATCCATTAGGTGGTGCTGGGATGCGTGAGGAGGATAATTGTATGCTACCTATCCGCTTTGTTTTGCAGTGATTGCCAAAGCGAAATAAACCAAGACAAAAAGCTAATAGAAACAGTCTGGGAAAGACCAAACTTCCATTCTAGTGAAGCTTTAGAAACATCACTCGATTCGGCATTGGATGTTTCGGGATTAGAGACGAAGGATGTAGATATTTTTGATTTTTATTCGTGGGTACAGCTTAATAGCGTCGGCGGGGGAACATGTTTGGTTAAATCGAGCATAGAACATTCAACTGACGAAAATTATAGGTGCTTTCCCATAGTCCCGAAATTGGCAGCTCATCACTTGAAGATTCCTTTTTTGGATCCTCCAAGACCAATTACTTTGTTGGGAGGATTGACCTCTTTTGGTGGTGCTGGGAATAATTATAGTCTACATGTATGCATTTCCAAGTTTTGGGGGGTCTCCTAAACAGTAGACGCTTTCGTCGCACACAAAGCACTATTGTCAAGCTTCATGAGTCTTTCGTGCCATTGAGTATGAACTAACAAATTGCAGGCCGTCACTGAAATGACGCGGCAACTCCGTAGCAAAAGAGGTCAAGTCTTTAATCACAAGAATTCTAGAGTTTTAAACGGTCTCATTTTAGCAAATGGAGGAGTATTGACATATCAGCATGTCGTATGTCTATCCACACAACCAAGAAGCGACGGAAAGGGATATCAGGATGGAAATGCTTGCCCAAATCTTGTACAGAGTGCTACTAGTCATGATGACAATGGCTTCGAGATTGTTGGTCCGGAAGGAGCCAAGAAAGGACTATGGGAAGGCATAATTGAGGTGAGAATTACAATTCTCTTGAAAGGAAAACCTCCACTGGCAGATGTCGAAAGAATCTGGGATAATCATGATTAAGTAGAAGAGGTTTGATCTGCAGCTAACAATTTCGCAGACATATACAGTACAATTTTCAAGGAAGAATGAGCCTCAAACTGGATTTGTAGTCGGGAGATTGAAGCAGACAGGAAAGAGATTTTTAGCAAATGTTGCAGATGACAAAACATTGGGTAAGTTGGTTAAGGAAAGCGAAAAGGAGATAATTGGGAAGAGGGGCTGGGTATGGAAGGAAGAGGGCGGAAAGAGAAATTTGTTTGGGTTTGAGCGAGGAACTAATCTGTGATCGGAGCCATTGAGAAGATAGAATACTGTGGAAGAGAAATGAGGGAAGACGTTTTTGATTTTGATTCGAGGATGAAGTTAGATTGTGATGGTGCTGTAAAGTCGTTAAATGGTCCGGGAAGATGAGTCGTGGAGATTCATAATTGCGATACGGGGGTGAGAGTGATTGGACGTTCCATAAAGATAAGCCTCCGGGTTCTCAAAGTAGAAACAATTTGAGGACTCAAGAAGATGAATTTTAGACATTCGGGATATTCCCAGAAGGAGAGCAGTGGTAGAAATCCGTACACTCCGTAATCAAGAGAATCTCGATGATATCCGCGGATATTGCATTATATGCCAAGCATTGACTGAGATTGAGGACTCGGGAGTCACTGGCGTCGTGTTTACTTGAAGCTATCATGAAGTCATCTGGACTCGGAAACCCGAATGTGGCGTCAGACTAGCTTTGTACTCATAAATAAAGGAGGATTCTTGGCTATACCCTTTGCCGACTACCGGGAAACCATATTTATGAGGATCTGATAAGGCTGTCGTGGAGTGGTTCGGAGTTGGATCCAAACCTGTCAAGCTAATTTTGTGCTCAGATAGCATGAGATGATCCTGGTCTGACCTGCTTCATGTAGCCCTTATCGACGAGGATCTCGATGCATATCCGAAGATATGGTATCATACGCTCTTGATACTCATATGGTGTACCAGAATCGCCCATGTCAGCTTTCTTCTGAGCCTATCTTAATTCATTTAGAATTGGACCCGAACCTGTCAAACCAGTTTCGTGCTCTCAAGTATGGATCAGAGATCCTGGATTGTGCTCTTCAACGCAGTGTCTAGCTCCCGCGTCCAAGGAGGATCTCGATGAAAGATATCTACAAATCTGATAACCTTGCCGGTCGCCAACCACCAGAGGAGAGTGACAAACGCTTTGGATTGGTTTTCCCTTGAAGCTATCGTGAAATCATTCCGTCTCGGATAAGATCCATTTGTCAAACCAGTTTGGTGTTCAATTTAAGACAGATAACGCGGGGCTGTACTCCTCCGCAAAGATATTCGGCACTTGGTACCCTATCCACGGATATTATCTAGATTTGAATCAGATATGGATATTGAGATCGGCGAAGTAATGAGGGGAAATCACGTGGATATATGACCTCAACCCCCTTGAGCTCTCACAGAGCTGGTAAAATATATGCGTGTAAACAGTCTTTTGACGTCGTATTTCATCGTGACACTAGTACGAGAATGACAGAAAATGGTTGGTTTTGTATCACTGCGCACTATGTATATATACATGTCTGATACACCAGATATCTTGACAAAATCCCGAGATACTCATTCGTACAACCTTTGGAGAATTACTCCGATACATGGGCCCCTGATCTGTATCTGCATATATCGATCATGTCACCAAACCACTACCACATTACCACCATTTTATCATCATCCAAAGAAATACGACATAATCTGATCTCGATGATGTTATTGGTATGTGACATTACCCTATAGTATTGAAGCATTGCCATGCAAATTAAATGGCAACTGCCTTGATGATGAACGATTCGTCGGACTTGAGGAATTTCTCTCTGTTTGTACCTGATTATGGTAGAAAGTCCAAGGAGAATGAATTGATAGTTGGAAGTGTTTGTTTCCTGTCAAGAAAAGGAATGAACCAAAGCTAAAATTAACCTCATCGTCGACTGAGCTTTTCAAGTAGCATCTATTAGAAATTGAGTATATCTTCATGTTGCAATTTGAAACTTCATATAAGTTATAACGTGGTTTATCAGTGCGTGGCCCACTTCAAAAATACACCAAAATTGAGCTTTTTTTAATAATCATATTTTAATAACCAATCATTATTCTCTTGATAGAAAATAATATTAAATAATAATTAAAATTCAGTCTTTTGAATATATAGTTTTAATATAAATTTTCTTATTATATTCTAAGAAAAGTAGAAATTGTCACGATTTTCGGTTACAAAAAAACTATTTCTATAATAACTCTTATATTAATTCGAATTTTTAAAAAGAGATTAGATTTTTATAATACAATTATGATTAAATTTTATTTATTCAGATTTTAAAAGATTTAATAAATAAATAAAGAAAGTGCACGGTTACGCACAGACGAATTTTGTATGTAAAATGAGGTGGGCCACCCACTGATATGGGCCACGCACTGATAAACCACGTTATATATATACGCACGTACTCGTAGTTATGTATGAAATCACCCCACCTTCCGAAAACAATCACTTGCACTGATATTCATCCTCACACTTCACTTCACCTTCACCCAAATTAGAAGGCACGGACTTGACCCCGCTACATCCGCCGATACGCTAAAACCTTCCCTCGTTACCTCACAATTCGGTATCGTCGTATCTTAATTCATTTGTACTCCAGTACATCTAAAAACATCCTGGATATCCAAACATCCATCAATTCAGAGTACAATCCAGTCGACAATATCGAGAATTCTTCGTGCCACTCGGTCAAATCAGAAATATTTGACATAACATAGCAATATATATCTTTCTTGGACCCCAACTGTTCACGGTACCATCTCAATAGCTCCTCCTTCCGACTCCTCAGATTTGTATCCTCACAAGGTACGTAGTAGTGAACTCGTGGTGGTTGAATCGAACCTACATGTGCGACGGCTTCTTGTTGATTTTCAATGATTCTAATTCACTCACAGATAGTATTTTCATATATATACTCGTTACCTTTCCACCATCTGCAACTTTCAATACATCCATAGTTACCTCCTCATCTACAATCTCCTCCAACTTTGAAATCAAATTTATAACCCGACGATTCCTCGGCACATTCGAGAGTCAGAAAGATGGGAAGCGCAGCAGCAAATCTGCTTGGCAGACAATTGAAAGAAATACAAAAAGCAAAGGATTTACCGGGCATCAGCTGTGGACTTGTGAAGGATAACATTTTTGAGTGGGATGTTATGCTCATGTTGAGTGACGAGTGTAAATACTATGGCGGTATGCTCTATAACCCACCTTCACTGAAGTCTTTCGCATCTCATACTAACAATGATTTCTAGGAGGCAACTGGCGCTGTCTTCTCTCTTTTCCCGAAAACTATCCACATGCACCTCCGACGCTTACCTTTTGCGACCCAATTCCATTCCATCCAAATATCTACGCGGATACAGGTGTTCTCTGTATATCCATTTTACATCCATCGGGAACAGATGACTTTGGATACGAGGACGCAAGCGAACGATGGACACCAATTCAAACACCGGAAACTATCTTACTAAGCGTGGTCAGTCTTATGAATGATCCAAATGATAGTAGTCCAGCAAATGTGGACGCGGCAAAGATGTGGAGGGAAGCACAAGCAAATCCCAAGGGCAAAGAGATGAGAGAGTGGAAATCGAGATGCAGGGCATTAGTCAGACAGAGCTTGGGGGACTAATGCGGAACGTTTTCTTCCTTTTTGAGGAGATGATTGGTTACAATTTGAGTTAACAATGTTGTTGGAAGATTGACATCTGAAAGTCTAGGAGGAAGTCACTTGTCTATTCAGGAGTTTCATCTACGATTGTAGCACAGCGTGAGGTTTGATGTTGATTGGGGCGTTGCATGCCACATACTTTTCTTGAGAACAAGACATAGCGCAATGGGACGCAGAGCGTATAATATCCAAATATTTTTGAGAAGTTCAGAAATTTATACCCGTAACTTATCACTGGTACTGGGAATGAGGAAAAATCAAGTTTATCATGCTCCTTTGAGTCAGAATTACCGATTGGTGTGTAGCATATTTTGTTGTTCATGCCTGCATACATGACACCAGATATTGATGACTCGGCGATCTTCGATATTTTGGACTCAAATTCAATTGATAAGAATTGCTACGAAATAACCCCGGATCCTTTCAGTCAACATTCCACACTTTAAAGCCTGCACAAGTCCCAAACCGTCAACTAGAAGAATTTCTTAGGAGAATCGATTTGTAGTGGTGCCAGTGTCAACAGTGCTTAGGTTCACTCCTTTGCTCGAAGAGTAATGTTGAATCAAAACATTTTCGGTAGCCGATAATTGTAGGGCAAGATGCTCTATCGTTGCAAGGAGTGGATTGGATGTATTATCCACCATGAAGCCCGAATCGCAATGTCTTATGTCTAGAATGGATTTTCTTGGAAAAGGATAATTAGAAGTGGAAGCCGAAGATCAGTACTGAGTATTATATGATCGACACTTGACAGTGGTTCATATTAAAGTGTCTGTCTTCTTCGTTAGATCTACAATGACAACCACGACCAAGGTTGACTCGGATGTATTTCCACACCTTCGCAACCAGAAAAACTCATCAATCTCCTTTAATGTTATGTAAAGTCTCATAGTTCATAGGTCTGTTTAGTTAGTCTCTCATGAAAAGGTACCCTAATTATCTGACAAGTCGTCATTATCATTCACATTCAGCGTTTCTATCTTCAAGTCGAATCCAAGTTCTATCGGATCCTCTAGTTTTCTTGAATTCTGGGATACAGAGAGATCCAATCACATCACATAGAGTATCAAATTACCCAAGAAACGATCTAATTGCTCTAGCTTCAAATAGTTGTATCTTGGCGTTGAATATTCCACAAAGTAGGCAGTATACTACCAACATGGTGTCCTCGAAATGGGTGATGTGATTGAGCGAATGTTGTCACTCGACCAGACTAAAAAAAGCTTAATTTAGGGCTGCATGAACGAATCCGTACAACCTATAAATACTTTGGCAGGCTCCTCTTAATGCATACCACTGCAGATTATACAACTTCGAAAAAACTAGCATTTTTTGTGTTTATACAATAGAAGAACAGTTATCATATTGTCTCAATCACCATACACCGTCTCGGTCATCGCATACAATTTGAATCCTTACCTACCACTTCGACCGTTCGAAGAATCTATAACACATATTCTCTCTACACTCCCGTCTACATCATCAACTCCCAACAAGATGTCTTCACGAAACCCACCACTCCATCTCCTCAAACTCCCCACCGAAATCCGTGATAAAATATTCGAATACGTTCTCCTCGAGCATCCAGAATGGAGCATCATGATGTGTACTACTGATGGCAGACACAAACACATGCATTACATCGATCCCAAAATCAAGAAGCTAATCCCCCGCTCCAAAGCCGTACCTCAAGTTCAAGTTCTCCGTATCTGCAAGCAAATCTGTAGCGAATACGGGCAGGTAATTTGGAAAAACCGAAGCTTCGCGTGGACTGATAGTTCGCTCTTCGTGGAGGCTTCCAGGTTTTCACGATGGAGGTTTTTTCTCGACACCGTCGATAACATCACGAGTGTGGAGCTTTTCCTTGACTTCACGAGGAGCGATCTATACCTTAAAACCTGGTCGCAGCCATGGTACACACCTAAACATGATTCGGATGCTTTTGGTCGGTATACGAGTACATGGAAAGCTTTGAGACAAGTGAAGCTGCATCTTTTCGGCAGTCGTCTTGAAACTCTAAGGACACGGGGGTTTGTGTATGGAATTCGATCAAATAGACATGGCTTCATGTCGCCGGGCGATGAATTGAATTCTGTGGATTGTTATAGAGGGTTTGTCACGGTTCTGAAATCATTGCGTAGTGCTGTTGGCAATATTGCGTTTCCTCATAAGATCAGACGAGCAGACGGTCGAGTAGAGAAGCTCACACAGATACTGGATTTGGGCTTGAAGTGGAATGACTATCCCGATGAATACCACAAGAAGAATTGGGCTGTACTCACCGCCATCTTGAAAGCCTGCAATGCTGCTTTTGAAGGTGGAGAGATATGGCTTGATGGTATTGTGTGTTGGAAAGATAATGTTGAGCAAGCGTGTATGAAATCAATTGAGGACGTGAGATTGTGTCAGCGAATGATGATCAGTGCTTGATTAGGAGGTTCGGAATTCTATAGAAAGTCTAACGTTGCATATTTGTTATTTGCTAATATCAATTTTCTAACCAGATATCCACCAGCGCCCGTATGGTTTACACTCCCAATTGCTCATCGGAGCCCTTTCGAGTAGAATTTCGAGCTCGACGTGAAGGCCTAATTCCCACGAAGAAGAACGCACAAGAACCTAAGCGCAAAGAGAAGAAGTACAGCGGGAATGGTTTCAAATTCGAATCGGAGTTTATATATCGAATAAAAACAAGAAAGGATATGAACACTTCAATCTTAGGCCCGTGACTTGCTTGGAGGAAGCAAAGAATTGTATTAGTCCTATAATTGTAGTCATAATGAAGAGTATATATACAACACAACTACATCTACATGATAATAAGAACTATCTGCTCCACCCCTTTATAGATAACTGGCCCTCATCAGTATTCCCTTTAAATCAACATCATACATACAGTAAGGTATTATAACAACCCGATTGTTTTACATTACGTAAAACTGTAGAGGCACTGTCGATTGGGGTCCTATGAGTCCTTTACGATACTAGAATTCAATATAGACTAGATTAATATAATTTTATACTAACCATAGCAATAATCTCATTTCTAGTTTAACAGGTGTGTCCACTCTTAAGTGTTTCTTATTGAGACCTTCACTAGAAGAGCGTGCAGAAATTGAAAGAGTCACCAATATACAAAGCAACCCAAAAACAGCTTCAAGCCTTCAAGACAAATACAAATCTTATTGAATCATGAAATTGAGTGACTTCAAGCTCGAAAACGATATTTTACAACATAAACTATGCTGCACTCCCAATAAGTTCACTCAAATCGTCACCCTTCTTAATTTCCTTAACATCCATCCCTTTCACTCCCTCAACCCCCAAATCCCAAAGTTCATCTACCACCGCATCTCTAATACCCGGGAACTTATGGCAAAGCATCCCTAATAAGTTCTTATTCATTGCTTCTGGATATACCAATGCTAGACGACCAAAACATTTAATTGCTGCTTTACATTTGTCGATTCGAGAACTAAGGGCTTCTTTTGCGACTTGGGCGCACAGAAGTTGGTATTGACTAGATTCCAAGAACATTTTAGCAAATGGGCAAATCAATGAAGATGGTTGGGCTACTAACTCAACTGTGACATTCTGATACATAAGTCCCATATCTAGTAAAAGAGCGATAGTCTCTAGTGTACCAACTATCACCTTCTCATTCTTCCGATGATGGAATTTTAGATTTCTGACAAGTGCAGCTCCAATAAATTCTTTATTCGCTGGGGATTCTTCGCAGAAATCGATCAGAGCAGCGATGCTAACTCGGCGTAGATCTTCTGTTCCTGCGTGAGTTGAAGTTACAAATCCTTCTAGTAATTTATCCGTCCACGAAGGAAGCCATTGGAGTTCATTCGTGGTTGTGTTCGTAGATGGGCGATCTGTAGTTTGCAGGTCCAGTATAAACCGGAAATGTTCATAAGAAGAAATAGAATTTTGCTCAAAGAACAAAACCATGGGGCTGGATTACAAATTTGTTAGAAGTAAGAAAGGATATAGGGCAAATAGTCAACAAACCTAGACACAACCGTTGGAAGAATAGCTAAAAGAGCCTTTTTAGCTTCTGTTCGAACTTTATCCAACTTCTCCGTGCAAAGCCGTAGAAGCTTTCCAAATATTGTCGAGAATACTTCCATATTAGGAGAATCTTTTCTCAAATCTGTGGATAGGAAAATAGCAGCAGCTCCTTTGATCGCTTCTAGCCTGACTCGAGAACCAATATCACCTTGAGCTGGGTCCGTATGATAGTCATCAAGACCATGAGAAACGATATCCCAGAAATGAATAATATGACAACCGAGTGCTTTGCTTTCTTTTGCAAAGTGCGGAAGTAGCGCTAATCGTGTCTTGATATCGTAAACCCGTCTGGGGACGTTCTCAGTGGAACCCCAGCTCTCATGTATTGCAATAGGAATAGTGTTGATCCGATCATCTCGAGGAATTTCGGACACTTTATTCTTCAGATCGTTCCTAAATAATGAATATGAAATCAAGAGCATAGAAAAGGTCAATGGACTCTTAGTATTTCCGACTTGAGTAATCCGCGTTAGGATGCGATCGGTCTCGAGACCCCGATAGCTACCAGAGCCCCAAAAGAATGATCTACGATGACAAGCTGATAGAAAGGTCACCAAATCTTCAGACCCAGTATCGATAAAGTGTCCAATAAAGTTTCTAACGAGTGATTGGAAGGCCAAGATATTGCCGTTTGAATCATAGGAGCTGGCATCATTTCGACCATCGGAGGAGTCAAACACGCCCATGACATTGCCCAGTATTCCAGAGATTGTTTGATGACCGGAAGCACTAACCATATGTTCTGCGTAAGGTTCCTCATATTCAATCATAATGACCTTTCTCGTTTTCGAGTTACGTAACCATGACGATATATCTTTATTTACGGAAGGCGAACCAAGGTTACCTCCAAGTATTACCGATGTCCCAAATACACGGAAAGAATGAAAAACTACACAAGATAAAGCTTCGGCGATCAACTCAGGACGTCGCCAACCTTGTGGGGTGATAACATTTGATATGTAAGAAGTAAGCATCCTGAGTATTTGGTCTGAATATGCTTGGAAAGCAACAGTAAGATCGTCTCTTTCGTTAAAATTCGGACATTCAAGAATTGCAGCAGCTATGAAAAGTAGTACCCCATGTCGCTCATTAACCTGGCGAACAGTAAGATCATTGAGCTGTTGATCCAATGAACACAAAGTTTCGTAAGAACTTTTATATGTGGTAGGATTGTTGCTGGTATCTCTTGGAAAATTAATAAGACGGAATGCTTCAGCACAATTTCGTCTTGTGACAAGATCGGCATCACCAACTCCACGCCAGCCTCGGAGTGCTTCGAGAATTGCCACCCCATAGTGATGCCAGGATATTTCATCATCAGTTTTGTAGGCCAGTGAAGCGGCTGAAACCGCGACCTCTAATATAGCCCTAGATCGAAGAGCAACAGCATGGTAGTCAACAATTTGGACTAATTCGAGTGCTTCAATGATGGTATTTGGGTGACGACCTATCAATTCTTGAAGTGCCGCAGAAGCTCCTCGGCGAATGTTGCCAGCAGGATCCAGACATGCGGAAACAACGAGATGTGTTGCTAGAATTTGTATAGTAGAGCTAACATTCGCTGCATGACGAAACCCTTCGGATTTGATGTCAATATCTTGTAATTCCGCCGTAGAGTAACGTCGAGCCAAAGCCCATATTCCAAAGCATGCAGCATCTCGTACATTGGTTCCAATAGAGCTACCTGATGTCGACTTTCCCTCAAACGATAAAGCTTTGAGTAGAGAAACAATCACTTTATTAAGCAGTTGAGGGGGTGCTGCATGTCGATATAACAGATGGGATAGTGTCAATATTTGACCGTGCCAATTCAAAACATCGGTAGTTGGCAGCGCTTCTAACATTTCGAAAATTGCAAGCACAAATTCATAGGCCTGTTCAGGTTCGACTTTCAAGATAACGACGCTCAATGCTTTACTAGCGGCTAGCCTTACCGGTGTTGATGGATCCAATAGCGATTGTAACATAAAATCAACAGAGTCACTCAAAGTATCATCTATGGTTGTGAAAGATGGGCGTAAATTGAGCAAAGCAATACCACGGAAAATGTTCACGATAAATTTTCGCGCAACAGCGGAGCTTTGCACTTCTTTGCAAGATCGATCTGAGGATTCCACAAAGTTAAAGACTGCGTGAAATACTGGCTCTAAGCTAGAGTCCATATAAGGGGTATCCGTGGATGATTTGAGAACCCCAGAAAGAAAAGACAGAACGCCATTGATGTGATGTATATTTCGATTCGTGTTAATCGAATTCAACACAGATATTGCCCACATTATTGAAGAATTGAGGAGCCCAAGATCTTGCATATCCTTAAGGAGAACAACTCTCACTAGTAAGATCTTTGCAGCATCCTTTTCTTTCCCAGAGGATGAAAGATATTTGACAGCTAACGCAATAGATCGTAAGGCTACGCCGGGGGTGTTGGATGGCAATCTAAAATCTGAAAGATACAACTCAGCACCACTGGGCGGAGGACTAGCCGATAAGGAGTGGAGAGCGAAGGGGGCCATGATTAACTGTGAAAGCCACAGCAGAGTGATATATCGTTCCTCCCAGCCCCATACTTCTTCTGTTGACTTTTCGCAGGCGTCATCATCTATCCATGTACCCTTTTCCATAGCAGAAAGTAACAAATCAAGTAGTCTGACTTCAGTACTTAGGAACTGGACAATAACTTTCTCCCCCCTAACCTTACAAAATGTATAGAGTAATCGACAAATCGCTTTGGACAGAGGCATAAGAAGTTGGGCATGGGTCTCAGACTTCACAGGTGGTTTCGATATGGAGGTAATAAAAGCATCAGCTAGTATGGGTACCAATCGCTGAAGGTGTGGATCGAGAAGTTGAGGAAGCTCTTGGAAATTGTCTAGCTATGTGAAACTTTAGCAAATGGGATGTTGAGAGGTGAAGGATACATACCAATGCTGTCAACCTATCTGTCTCTCTTATGCGAACTCTTCTTCGTAATTGACCCTTATTAGTAACATTATAGAGGAATGGATGTAGTGATTTTTCGAAATCTTCCAAGAGCTCTCCCGACTCCCTCTGGAGTCGAACATCTTTATCATCATCTGCGGCGTCCATTATGAGTCTCTGAGGGAGAAGCTATGCGCCGCTTTGGGTTGAGCGTGCGTTTTCCTAGATCTTGGAATATGTCGGTATTGAATGATGGAGGTAAATCTTTACCACCTTTCGAAGTGCACTCTGATACTTCTTCTTCTTGATTGATCATTAATAGGATGATATTAAGCTTCCCGAGATAGGCACAGTATTACTTTTCATCAATAGTCATCATCCGCAGTATCATTTGTTATGATATTTGTGAAGATTCGTTTGGAAAGCATCATGTTTTCGAGATGGCCTTGCTCAACTACGACATTGTAAATAAAAAGATTTAGTGGGGTCGCGTTCACGCCAACGCCAGTGCCAACACCATTGGGAGAAAAGTCTCATCAATCATGTAGCGATGGCTTTCGTTAATAGAAATCCAATATTAAATCAATGGGTCTTTGTATTATCTCACAACCTCTCAAAAATCGATAATATCTTGTGGTAAAACATATGTCTCGATCTCGAGGAAATTAAAATATGTTTCTGAATTCTCATTGAATTTAGTCCTGTATGTACTGCATTTGTCACATATGCAACTTTCATATCTGATTCTTATTCACTTATCTGATCTCTATATAGATTGAAACGAAGTCGTTCTCCATAGCCGGCGAACTACTCGTAGTGGTTCCCTAGTCATTTACGCAGCAGTTACCTACGAGAACTTACTACACCGAGGTCTTTTGCCGTTTGTCGTCTTCAGTCGTCCTACATCTACCCCACCCCTATCGCTGGTCGTTGCGGAGAGGAACACACATACGGTAGGTTATATCTTTAGTTTTTATGCATCATCTCACTTAAAAAGCTGGAGCGTGAAACTTGAGATCATCAACCAACATCACTGATCATGGCTCACAAATTTCATATCAACACGACACATATCCACATGAAATGGGATAGATCTCTTACTCCCGCTTTAACGGTTGATTCTGGTTCCGAGATATCATTCGATCTACTCGATGGCGGTTCCAATCAAATCACCGACACCTCAGACATCACCGCAGTCCAAAACTTTGATGTCTCAAAGGGCGATCCCGCATTTGGTCCCGTCTACATCAATTCCGCTTCTCCAGGCGATGTTCTAAAAGTCGAATTTCTATCCCTCAGACCAGCTGATTATGGCTGGACGGCCTGTCTACCCGGCTCATTCGAATTTGGTCTTCTAGCCGACGAATATCCAGAAGCGTCTCTCAAGATATGGGATCTTTCAAAGGGAGAAGAATTTGCGGTGTTCAAAGAAGGAATACATATACCCATTAAACCTTTTTTGGGTGTAGTAGGGGTCGCACGTGGAGAGGAGGGTGAATTTTCGACGATTCCTCCTTATGACACTGGCGGGAACATCGATTGTAAATACATTACTCAAGGATCTGTTCTTTACCTTCCAGTCAAAGTTCCAGGCGCTTTGTTTAGTTGTGGAGATGGGCACGCTGCGCAAGGGGATGGAGAAGTTTGTGGAACGGCTATTGAGACACCTATGAAAGCTACGATTCGGTTGACAGTTGAAAAGGACAAACCCTGGGTTCAAAGTCCTCATTTCTTGATACCCCCTCAGCCAGTCACAGTGGATAAGGGAGAATATGCTGCACTGGGGATTGATAGTGATCTCAGAGAAGCAAGTAGGAAGGCATTGAGAGGATTGATAGCTTGGTTGGTAGCAGAAAAAGGCCTGGATAGCCAAGAAGCATATATGCTTAGCAGTGTGGCTGCGAATTTGAAGATCGCGGAGATTGTTGATATGCCAAATTATGCGGTGGCTTGTAGTTTACCTTTGAGCATCTTTGTTGGTGCTTCGTATGTTTGAAGTTGGAAAGGAGCCTTTCATATTCAGAGTATGAGAAGATTTCAATACGGAGTAGTTACTAGGTATTTACTGCCGCTTATCTCGTTAACATTTCCCCACGTACCGAATCTTCCGCCTCTCAACGATTTTCGGACTTCATATCTCATACATACACCGCGCACAGTACAAGTACTAATCCATTTCAAGAGAGATGGCACGCGACTCGAGATAACCAATCAAACATCTCTCATCGGGTTAATTGTCGAGTTCTCTTAGATTGATAACAGAAACGCTTAGATTCGGGGTAGGTGACATTTAGCTATCAAGTTCATTCTTTCACATGTTTTTCTACACTATCATGGATGCCCAGGGTTGATGTTGCCCAGATGAATGATACATCTAGATATATATCAAGGTTTGATTTACCAATCAAATATTCTGGATAGAATGATGTAAACTTTCAAATCTCAAAAACGGCCTCTTCGGGTATGTGGTTAGAGAAAAGTGGAAATATGCATTATGCATGCACCTTGTATGTACTTTCTGTGCTCTTGGGTAGTTTTTTATTTGTATACCTAGGTTCTTTCACCGTTCTAATACTAATATCCCGTCTTGCTTCTGTGAGTAACCTCCCCCTACACTAATTATATGCGTTGCGAATACCTTCATGTCTCCGAGTCCATCGAGATATCGATACCATTTAAATTTCTCGGGTCCTTACTAATTCACAAAGTAGCTCCCCTCCCCAACTTGCCAAGGCCACCTCCGCACCACCTGAGTACTGACATAGCTTCTCGCGTGGTTCCCCTGTCTTGTCATGTCCAACTATTCTCAACCATTAAGAGTTTGCAAAGTACAACAGTGCTTTTCCCACCCCTGTCTCAACCTTAGTTAATCCTGATCCTCGGAACTACACTTGCATGCATGAATTTTTTATCTGTCACTGGATTCCTTATCATCAACTCATTTGATATCCATTCCACTTTTTTCTGGCTTTCGTACTGTGTATAAGAATAGGTAAATAGATTTCCCTTGTAAATTTATACGTGGGGAATAGATGCGGGAAAAATGTCGTATGATTGTATCGTTATGCCGCATATCGTAAACGTTGTGATGTCAATCTTACCTTTACGAACCCGAGTCGAGGACAATGTCTCATATTGTGTACAATTTCATTGTTTACCATTCGATGTACAAGGACTTCCAGATCTTGTACCACGACGATGAGTCTCAGCTCTAGGCATCACCTTTTATACAAATTATAAGTAATGTTTTGTATAACAAATACTTCTTGGTTCAAGCCTCAATGTAGAACTGTACGAGGAGTTAGATCCAATAGTCTAGGGATCTCAAGAGTTACGGCTATTAAAGTCGTCAAATTTCACCGACATTTCATTATAGCCATCCTAGAAGATCATGTAGATCATCACAGCATTCATGCTAGATGACCTCAGGTACGAGAATGATACGTACATCGATACATTTGGAGAATACGAAGTCGTGGAGACACGATAACATGCCGCATTTTTCTTCAAAGGCTTCATCACTATTCAGTACTTGGCTGCGTAGTAAAAGTCCAAAGTTTGTATTGCTATCAATGCTAGATTGGAAGTTTTAGTAATTAGCGAGGCGCCTTACAGTGAGATTAATATGAAATGATTCGATATACTCCTTCAGGCTCGGTGCCATGCGTCAAACATTGCTATCAAAACTGTCCATTCATCACTTCATTATCGAGAATGTCACCACCACTTTACTGTGCCTCATTTCAACATGCCCTCGATATCAATACAAGTATCAAGCGAAAGCCAGCAACTACCCACCAACCACTTCGATTTTAGACCATAGACTTGATGAACCCGCCAAATTGTAATCCTATCCTGTGGGTCAGTGGCTGAAAGAGTTCTTATCTTTTCACCCTGTAATTCTATTTTGTACCCCCATTCTGAACTGATATGATAATAGATGATAATAAAATCCCCGGGACAGTGAAAATGCCTTGGACCTAACAGCTTTTTGGTGCCTTACCCGAGTGGATTCACTCTATAGGCAAAAGCTCCTTCATCTCATCCCACACTGATGAGTTCCCAAACTGCGGGTTGGATATTTTTTGACCGCGCCACTTGATGATGACGAATTAAATGATGATTGTTCCAATTGAAAGGATTATGATCATGATGGGAATGAGAGTCGAGTAGTTCTAACGGTTTCAAGAGTCTGAATAAGATATGATTACTGACACAGAAGTCTATCCATCTAATTCTCCTAATCTTCTCGATACGTTTGTGTCAGATGTCCTACCTGATAATATTAATTGCTACACTCTAACCCTTCCAAACTCAAACTGTCCAAATTCTAACTTGTACCTTAACTATTCCTCAATTCCGCATGGCCCCACGTTTATCAAAAGCAAGCTGCAAGCAAGACACAAGAACCATGACCCATTGAGCAATTATCATCCAGAAGCACACCAAGCACACCAAGCCCTTCAAGAATAACGACTAAATTTCGAGACTTCCTACTATTTGTTCCATCCAAATAGTCTATCATTGAAAAAACTCAGAATAGACTTTCTTGGCTTCAAACATATACACATATCTATCCTGAAAAGAGATAACATCTCTGCGGGAAATTCCCATCCAATACCAGCACCAGTCATCTAAATTCAGAAGTGGCCCCCGAGTCTACGGAGTATTAATCGAAGATTCTATCAATCATAAAAAATACCCAGCCCTGTGCGATACGAATCTCTATCTGGACGAGTATGAGAAGGGAAATTCAAGGAACCCCATACTAATTGACATATCCTTCACCGTCTCACCCAAGTCATCTCACTCATATTAACGCCAATACCATCCACTTCTGCGAACAATCCTTTTTAAATCTTTTGGCTACTTCAACCTTCGACAATCTTATCACTTCCTTCTCACCAGCAGTAACGAAATAACCAATTCGAATTCTTACAAACTCAACCCCTACCTACACACGAACATCATCTGTCACATTGAACTATCAATCTCCAAAACCTTCCGAATCATCTCCGCCATTATTGCACATTGTATTGCTCAAAAGCTTCCAGAACATCATTGAAACGAGGGATCACTAAGAGAGGAAGAGCGAAAATACCTTGGGACCATAACCCACAGTCCTACATTTTCCAAAACCTCCGAGATAGAATACTCGACTTCGAGTCCAATTCCTCTCGTTATTGTCATGCAACGGTCCATGCGCAACAATTATCGATACGATTCGCGACGGAATTTAAGAATTTCCCATTCCCATGGAAATATATGCAATCGAATATCCAACCACATCTCCCATTGAATTCAACACTCGAAAACACAAAAGCTGCGAAACAAGATAGACCCTCGCTCGTCCCCTCCACGGAGGTAGACGGGCGTGGTACTCAATTGCTCCGGTGGTGCCTCGATTTCTGACATATATCATTCATTATGACCATTTATTCCAGTCCACCACCAGCTCGAAGCTTCTACGACGATAAACCTACACTTCTTGTTTGTTGGTGGTGCACGTTATTTTCGGCCGTCATTATATTGTTCAGAGTTTGCGGACGATACATTAGAACGGAGAAACTTTTTAAAGAGGATTGGTTAGCTTTTGCTTGTTTGATCCCATTGTTTTGTCGCATGGGCCTTGTTCACGTTATTTTGTTATTGGGTACCAACAATGCGGTGATTGTGGATTTTGATGAAAGATCGTTGCAGAGAAGAGCGATTGGGAGTCGATTGGTTTTGGTATCCAGAGTTTTTTATGCGGCGACGTAGGTTTATTTTTACTTGATTTCAGCTTGCTTGCTTATTTCATTCCCCTCTTTTCTTATTCTCATACCCATTTAAACTCGATTCAATGACTGACCTACCTATCTACCTATCTCTAGACTCTGGATGCTTAAACTTACCATTAGTGAATTCTTCAAAAGGCTCACAATAAATATTTGGACAAGGTCACACGAAAGGACTTTAATCTTCATCCGATGGTTCCTCCTTGTCACATTTATCGCAGTCATAATAGCAGATATCTCCGAATGTCAACCCATCAATCATTATTGGCAAGTCACACCAGATCCAGGAGCAAAATGTCGTCAGGGATATGCACAACTCCTTACTATGGGGACCGTCAATGTATTGACTGATCTTCTCCTCGTTTTATTTCCCGTTCCTATCATTATTGGTTCCAAAATGAGGATTAAGAGGAAAATTCAGTTGGTGTTATTATTTGCAGGTTCGCTGATTCCGGCAGGAATAACACTTTACAGAATTCCACAGATTATCGATAGACATGGTCTTCAACAATATCGATCCTTGCTAGCATCAGTCGAGATTCTCTTCGCAACAACTGTCGCCAATGCGCTTATCCTAGGATCTTTCGTCCGAGACCGAGGAGTTAAGAAACACAAATTTAAATTTGGTTCCTTAACTGACACACTCGATCGGACTACTTCTCGCCGTGGAACCGTAGCTCGACAATGGGGCAGCGATGAAGATCTCGTCCGAGATCTAGGCCTAGGGGTAGATCCCGAATTGAGAGGGGAAGTTCATTCACCCCCTCGTCCCGCGCCAATGGCTGTAGCTGGGAACATTCCAGTAAGGAGTCATCGATTTGGATCAAATAGTTCGAATGATTGGCGGTTTCCAAGTGATACGAGTGATGAGATTGATTTCGTCAAACCAGCTCCTTCAAGACATGTTTCTGAAGATTTAACATCAATGATGTCACCACGTCGCGTATCATTTTTCGACGTCGGAGGATTACTCGATCAAGAATCTCCGAGAAGAATTAGTTCAACAAGAACAATGGATTCGGAATACACAGGCGAATCCAGTACGGCAGGCGAAGGTCCAGTATCCACAACTTGGTCTTACGAAAACGGTTTAAGTCCCGCTCCTCCACGACGCGGTTCCGCGGCCCTTTTGCAAGACATAGGAGGTTTATTGGGACCCCGAACGAGAATTCAAAGAGCGAGTATGGGATATGAGCTGGAAACAATTTTGCAGGAGAGAAATAATGGGCCTACTAGTCATCCGTCGCTTACTCATGCACATTCGGTGCCCCCACCTATCGATCATTTAGGGAGACAGCAGACTAATCTGAGTTTGCAAGATGTTGGGGGGCTTTTAGAAAGGTAATCATGGCTTCACACACCTACCCACACATTTACATACATACTTGTCACTGAGATGATCCGCATTTCTTCCATATCGTATTATATCTACTGTACCACTACTTTGTTTTCTATTTCAGCCTTTCTCCCTTCCAAGATTTATACCTGAATACTTCTTTCTATATTTCTTTTCACTTTGTTTTACTTTTACCTTTACCTTTACTTTAACCTTCCCTTTGTTGAGCACTCATAGCAAATATTACGAGATTATGAAAATTGGGCTGCATGTTAGGATTTGGATCCGATTTGAATTTGGATACGGAGCGGATTAGTGATTTAATCCACGGGTTTGGATTGGACGTAGGGCGTTATGGAGTATAACTTATACCACAGCTGGTTGTGTTGCAATGTGTTTGGTTTTGATTTTGCGTAGGGGGTCTTTTGTTAAAGCGGATGGATTCGAGATGAAAGATGGAGATGGCGATATGGATTCAGAGACGAGAGAGGTGTTTGAATTAACGAGTCAGGGATGCGAACGGATTGAGTGAGAGAATATCATATATATGCATACCAGCGTCTTATTCGTTCGAACATCTTTTGGTTTCATCTTCGAGAGATAGGATGGCACGTCATATTACATCATATCATGGGACGATATATAGACGGTATGCGAGCTGGATAGTGAACAGAGTAGATGAATAATAATAATGACTTCAAATCCATCCATCTTGAGGAGAGGGGATGGGTCAAGATAGTTGATCCCTTCGTGATCGAATGAGCATATCATACTGCTTAATGTTCTACAAGTGCAGAGTTTTATTATGCAGACTTTTATGAACTTGCGGAAACTGTCACTGCTACCTTGAAGTAGATTTACGAACTCATCATCATACCAAGCCATACCCAAATGCCACACGCATCAATTCCACCAAAAACTCACACTAAAGCTCGCACTCAATCCTCTCACATAATGCCACCACCCAACCGGAATATACAACACTTCTCCTTCTTCCAACACGCAATCCCAATATTTCGCACTGTCCGCTTCTGGGAATTTCTTCCTCTCTGCCTCTTGCTCTTCGACAGTACCATCCCATCCCTCCAAGACTCCAATATCCACCTCACTCGTATTACTCATGTCTATTCCCCCATCTTCTATACCTCTCGCGTATAATTTTGGAGTTTCTCTAGGTGGATAAAGACGCAAATATTTCTTCCCGACGACCTGTGCTAGGATATTATGATACGGATCCGTATGCAGCGGACTAATTGTACCAGCTGGTCCAAACCATGCGTTTATGAGCGGCTCTTCCAATTCTTCCATTTGTGTATATTTTTCTTTCAGCGCGGGAGAACACGATGAATGAGGTTGTGGTGGATAAACATAACAGTAATCCGGGATGGTTATGTCGTTTCGTAGAGATGGGATTTGGGAGAATAAGTTGTGTTGTGCTAGATAGCCTGTTTCTTTTGCTTCTCCTTCTTTGGCAGGGGATAACATGTATTCGGTCATGAAATCTTTGAAGGTGACAATTTTTTGGCCCCATCCGGAATCAACATAACTTCTACCTATTTCTATGGGGACTAAGCGTCGACCGCCAATGGTTTTAGATAGTAAGTATGAGGGACTAGACCATGGTTTTTGATTGCGTGCCGGCCATGGATCGATTGATCCAATTATAATGAGAGGTTCGGCTCCTAGTGTGCGATCTTGGGGTTGGTGCATATGTTTTACGAATTTGTCCATGTTTCCGTCATCGTTATTGATGTTGATTTCGTCGGAAGTTACTCGAGCGATGGGGTTCAACAGAGAAGGTGACGTGATTGAAATTGATGGAAAGCGGTCTTGATATGAAAATTCAAATCTTGAGCGTGAATCACTGCACGAAATTTTCTGACGTTTCGTGGGTGATTGTGTAGATCTATCATCATCTATCATTTCTTCATGAATCTTTTGTAAGAGACCCATCGCAAAATCAATTGCTAATCGCATTTTTTCCGATGCTGGAGCTCCGACCATGATCAATGCCATATCCATCGTCTCAACCATTTGGTCTATTACTCCATCATCTATGACATCCAGATTTGAATCTTCATTCTTCTTCTCATCCAGAGATAAGGATTTTCTAGAGGCAAGAGCAGAGAACTTCAGCAAACTTGCCTCGAGAAATAATGCCCTCCAACATTCTGGTACATCTTTAAAAGGAAATGCATAGAATTTCTCCTTAGCTAGAGCGAGTAAATCATCGAGCCTTTGGAGAGTCAATTCCTGATTACCTGTTTGAGTACGGATACAGCTACTCAGATGAGCGAGTAATTTTCTAATAGATTGACCACAAGACGCAAGAAGTTTTGATGTATTATCTGATGATCCTGATGATTCTCCAATGATTGATGAGCTGTTTGTTCGAGATGATGAACAGAAGGTTTGAAGACACAAATCAATTAAAATTTGTTTATTGGAAACCTGCATGTTGTCTATATCCATCACTGTTCCACCACAAAAATCTTTTGATGGATGATTGTTGTTTTTATCTCTAAATCTTTTGGTGGGTAGAAAGTTAGCAATTAGCAGGCTACTAAGCTCCCGCTTGCTTGTCTCCTTCTCGCCAATAATTTTAGCGGTTCGAGGAGGTCCTGTGAACGGTAATAGATACGTCACTCCAGACTTCACCTATAACGTTGTTGGTCAGAAATTGATCAATTCAGATCACTCCGATCTTGAAGTGTGCTTTATTATGTGTAACTTCGACTTTCCATACACCTATGTCTTCTGGGTCGGAATTAACTTTGCATTCTGATATGACAGTTCGTTTGGGAAAAGGCAAGGCTTAGAAAGCCGATACAAGAACATCATGATGGAAAGAGGAATGGTATACCCACAGTGGAATAGATAGAAAAAAATGGCGTGAATTATGATGAAATGTGACCAAGGGGAGAAGACTTCGAGTTGAATGGCAACAGCACGACTACCGAATTTGAAGTCACTATGAAGACTTGAAAAGGAAAATTGAAAGAGAAAAAGATCCCATTCGCACCTTTGGAAAGTCTAGAGAACGAGAATACCTTTTAGTTCTTCAAATATTTCATCAGTTAGGTTCAATGTAGAAGCTCACCGCGTCGGTAATTTCTCAAAAAATGACAAGAAATCGCCTGTTCACGTGAGATACGTCCGAGGTGATGAGTAATCGCGGAAATCTTCCGGGCACACCTTGATACCTCGGAGGTTGTACTACGGCCTCAAGTGTAAGCGAAAGGATAACTCAATAGCTTTGACGCGACGACTCCCAAGGTCTTGAAAATTGCACCCGATTTATTTGACTAGACATATCTATTTATGAAACATGCTATCCATTATCGGGAAAAACAGAGGCATCAAATGAGCTACGTTATCTGGAACATGTTACTGAAGGGATGATAGTTACCCGAGTATCGACTGCAAATCCCCTGATATAATTCGCTACCGAGCGGCCTACGAAGCTCAACAAGATAAGATACCGGTGCCTACCCAAGTAAATAAGCTTATCACCCCACAAATACCCCTCATTTCCTTCCTGTATTGTACACGGTCATCTTCAAAAATGCACGTAAGTCTGAAAGAGATCAGACCTCAACCAACCAGCTGGCGTCAATTAGCATAGCCGGCACTTCCGCAGGATCCTCATAGGCTCGGACATTGTATAAAATAGGGCGTGTGGTTGTACACTTATTATAAGCCACCCAACACCTATTTATAAAGAGGCTCCGGACTCCCCTCTATTACAATTGCCACTTCTGCTCACTTATAACATAACATTCTCTGGTTCTAGCTCTCATTCTTTACTCTCCATTCGATATTCAGCAATACACTCACAATCTGAATTTCAAAATGACCCCCCTTCAGCAACAACCCCATCCGAGCCCCTCAATACCGGCGCCGCCATTCCCACAACCTCTGACTCTACCCTCTCAACCCAAACTCATGAGCCTGGCCTCTCAAGAGAGCAAGCCCAGGCTCGTACCAAACGTATGAAATTGCCACTACGAACACCACTTGAAGATAAATATGCAGAGAGAGAATACCAAAAAGGGAGATTGGCGTTGGCTTTTAGGATTTTTGCCAAGTTGGGGTATGATGAGGGAGTTGCGGGGCATATTACTTTGAGGGTGAGTGAGGAGTTCTTTTCTCTTTTGGGGGGTACGGATGGATGTTGACGTTTGCGGATGAGCGCAATTGATTTTCAATTGGAAGTTGTAGATAGGAATTGGATATGGGAATGATGAGAATATTGAGTACAGAATACTAATAAGAATAGGATCCCGTTGAACCAACTAGTTTCTGGGTCAATCCATTTGGAGTAGCATGGCCACTTCTCCGAGCATCCGATTTAATTCTCGTCAACAAAGACGGAGACGTAGTTGACGGCGGTCCATGTCGATTATTAAATACGGCCGGTACATTTCCCTCCCCCTTCTCTTATCAAAAATCCACACTAACATCCCCTCCCCAAGCCTACATGATCCACCACGCCGTGCACACGGCGCGCCCCGAAATTAACGCAGTAGCCCACTCCCACTCCATCTACGGCCGGGCCTTCTGTTCCCTCGGCCGTCCCCTCGAAACCATCACCCAAGACGCCTGTTCTTTCCACAACGATCTCGCACTCTACTCATCTTTCCGCGGCATTGTCCTCGCATCCGAAGAAGGCCACGCTATCGCCTCCGCTCTCGGCAATAAAAAAGCTGCATTACTGCAAAACCATGGGTTACTCACTTGTGGAGAAACAATCGAAAGTGCAGTCTTCTGGTTCATGAGCTTGGAAAAATGCTGTCATGCGCAATTACTAGCTGATGCGGCAGCAGGGGGAAGGGGAGGAGAAACGATTAAAATCCAAGAGGATGACGCGGCGTATACCTATAAGACCGTGGGGACCGAGATGGCGGGTCATTTTAGTGCAAAGCCTGCTTTTGATATGATGGAGCATGAGAGTGGCACGGATTACAAGTGGTAGTGTAGGTGTAATAGAGGGGGTTGTGGATACCTATTCTGTTTTACTTGTGCATACTTTTTTGGACCTGGAATAGTGTTATTGCTTTCGCTGAATGTTCTTCTCATGGGGGCGAGCCCCTAAACCCCCATTGCTCGCTTTGCTCGGAGGAGGGTTTAATCCGATATTAGTTTGCCTCCATGGCAATGGCTCCCAGAGGGCCAGCGGAGCGTCATTTTGAAAGGAGTATTAAAATCTTTCAAAATGTGTATTCAAAATTCTACATCCTATTTCTGTAGCCACTTATCTATGCACCATCTATGCTTCTTTCACCCCCTGAAACCTCAAATTATCTTGAGCAAATCTCAAATCCCAACTTTCAAATCTTAAACCCACCAGTCTGCAATCTCCGCCAAGTGCCGTCCGGATCATAAGCCTCCTGTACTTGTCTCAACCGTGATAGATTTTCCTCTCCATATCCTGCGAATACATCCTGGCTTGCATCCGCGTAGTTGGGATAAATATATTTATGGAGGATACCCAATTCTTTAGCGAACAGGGTGAGTTTGGAGATGAGTTTGTGGGTGGACTGTTGCATTAGAGGCGTGTAGGAGTCAGAGGCCTGGGTCGACCACCATATATTTATGTTGAAGACTGCGTGGGGAGGTTAGTTGGTTGGAGAAGGGATAAAGTAAAATAGCCGCCAACTAATTTTTATTGCGAAGGAGGGCAAAAAGGAAGAAACGAACCAATAAGCGTCCCATCATTTCCAGATAATCCATTTGGACTCTGACTTCTATCCGAATGAACAGAAGGAACTAGCGGTTGCAAGACAAAACTCGGGAGAAAACCAGGGACATGTTTTATAGTTTCTATTTGCTCGAGGAAGAGATTGAGGATTTTCTGGAAGAGCTCTGGATGAGGGTAGAGAGTCATGGTTGCCCAGATAATTCTAGCGTTGATAGTAAGTTAGGATGAACAAGAGCTTCGATACGATCGCCTATTTTTGTATTCTGAGAAGTATCACAATAGAAAAGTTAACTCACCGATCACCCCAAACATCCATACTCGTCAACTCCTTCGCCAGCTCTCCCATACTAGCATTCCGATTCGTGCTGTAAGCCCCCAATTTTCTTACCCCTTCGAATGCCGAAGGATTAGCCACACCATCTGAATTCGTTAGACAAGTAAGTCCGGCGAATAAATCGTATTGGGCAAGGTAACCGATGGAACCGTAGAACTGGCTTGAGGTGTCGGAGGTTTGGTTCGTGACGAGGTCTTGGATGGCGTTTAGGAAGGTGGTGGTAGATGTGCAATAGGAGAGGAGACAGGCAGTTTTGAGGATTATGTTGGTGAGGGGGATGGTAAGGGAGCGTAGAGAGAGAGGAAGGAAGGGCCGGGGAGAAATAGAGAGAGTATTGCGTTGGGCTGAAATGTCGGAGAAGAGGTAATCTGTTTGGTGTTAGTGATATGGTGAGATTCTGGGAAGACATAGAAGTATCAAGGGATGACATTGTAGCAAAGAGAGCAAGGACAAGAGAAAAAGAAAATTGATATCAAAAGACATAGAGTGATATCAAAAAGCACGTTTGTACTCACAATTTTGACCTCCCCATGCGGGACCCTGCGGATAAGTCTGCAGATCAAATCTCGTGACGATACCAAAATTATTTCCCCCTCCTCGTAACGCCCAGTACAAATCTGGGTTATCATGAGCGTTCACATTTGCTAACGTTCCATTGGAAAAGACAATCTAAAGGCATGTTAGTCTGGTATTTATCATGATGTAGTGAAATAAGCAAACCTCGAAATTTCGAACATTGTCAGAACCCCATCCATATCTTTGAGATAGAAACGATATCCCACCTTCAGAAACACTTAGCATCTCATCTTTAACATCGAGTTTATCTCCACTTCACTTACCACCCAAAAGGAATCCTCCTACTCCCACCGTCGAATCCCTTCCCCCAACGACCATCAATCCCCTCGGTTCTACAACCTCATAAACCTCCCCCATCTGCATCCCGCTCCTACCTTTACAATTTCCTCATCCTCCGAAATTTCAATATTCTTCATTCTCACCAAATCAATGGTAATACCGCCCTCCACATTAGAAAATCCTTGATTCATATTATGTCCTCCACTTTTGATGGCGAAATGACAGTCAGATTCTCGGATAATTTTCATGGCGGATGATACTTCAGAAGGATAATGAGGCCGTATTATACAAGCTGGCGTAACGGATGCTTGTTGAAATGAGTAGTAGGTGGAAGTGAAATCGGGGGGGATGGATCCATAGTAGGTTTCCTGGATGGTGTGTTGGAGAGCTATACACTACCGAGTTCCGTGTTAGTTAAGGGGATATTATAGATTTGGACGATGTAAGGATTCATTGTATTACCGTTTGGTGGCAGCTATCGTCCTCGAGAGAATCTCCATCTCCAGACATAAGTGGCAGTTGTTCACTCAAATCAGGCGAAGACGCAATAACGAAGGTAAAGGCATAGCTTAACAACAAACATAGTAAAGGGGAAAACATCATTCTCGCCTCGCAATAGACGTTGATGATGGTGTTTGATTGTGAAAATTTCTACCTCATTTTCACATCAGGAGATCTTGCAAAACCTTTTATACAACATTAATTTTCGTTACAGTATTTCTGTTACAGTATCTCCCGGGGGTTATCTCCACTCGGAGATGATAGACATAAGATCTGACCAACTGTTGTATTTTGTAATCGGCTACTTGCATTCACTGCAGGTCAAATTGACCGACTTACTATGATTGATAATGTTGTGCTGATAATTGCAGCTGAATGGATCAAATGAACACATTGTCAGTAAACACGTATAAGAGCCCGTTTCATGAGTCGGTGAATCTGTGAGTTTGTACGAAAGTGCATTCGGATTCTCCACCGTTATACCACCCACCGAGCCACCCTAGGTAGTTATGACGATGGATATCAAGGGTCTGAGGTTCAACGGTCAACCCCAGATTTTTACGACATTTTCACCACAATGCACTTCCCCAACGACAACATTCCTCCACATTTGTATCCCAGATATCAATATATCTTCATTTTATGGTTTGATATCTTGACTTCAATACAATTAATGATCCTGATCCGCTGAAGTCGTGTTGAACTGAAAAAATGTTCAGTGAGGGGTTTTGGATAAGATAAGAGCTAACAAATCCAAGGAACTCGAAGGATTCCAAGAATGGCGAAGGGATTGATGATCTCATGGAAATTTTGTGGATGCTAAGGTTGTCTATGGCATGGTATGGAGTGAGATGAGGGGCTTGACAGGTTTGACAAGACCCTTTATTGTCTCTTCTTTTCTCTTTTTGTATTTACATTCCCATCCATCTATTTGCTAAAACAACATCAATAACTTCTTGTCGAATGCTGTCTACAAGAACACATACCATCTACGACTCTACGAATATGCGCATAGGACACGGTATTTAATGATACCCTGGACGATCTGCAATATCCGCATATACCGATAAATACTATCCTCATTATGACGAATCTTGAACCATCTCATTCAACTCCCACAAGTTCAATCAAACTTACTCAACGACATGATCGATCAACTTTGAGTGTTGTGGCACAGAAAGCAATCAAAACCTTCTCCGAAACAATCCTCAAAACACATCCTCCCTTCCCATCCGGATCTCCCCAATTAACTCCTCACCATTCCGTCAAGAAACATTGTCGAATCACCCAACATCAGATCGCAGATACATATATCTATACCTTCTCATCTCTCTCCACCCCACCACCGTCTCCATCCACCGAGCAAAACCCCCCCGTGGTTCTTGATAAATTATATTATTTCGCGGGTGGAGGATTCAGAAGTGGCGCTTTGAAAGAACATTGGACTCTCTGCACTGAACTTTGCAAGAAGCTTCCCGAATACGAAATCAACATCGTTAGTTATCCTCTTGCGCCCAGTTCCCCCGCTGCCCAATCATTGCCGCTTTTGAGGAAATTCTATGATGCTTTGGCGGAACAGGCAACGAGGGAGGGGTATAGAATTACATTAATGGGAGATTCAGCGGGGGGAAATATTGCACTGGTTTTGGGACTTTATGGAGCGGCTTCTTGGTTGCGGGATAGTAACTTACAGGGAGCTGGGAGTGTCTGTCCATTGAGAAACATAATGGTCATGTCACCACCCACCGACATGCGAAACACAAATCCAGGAATCGACGCAATAGATTCTCACGATCCCATTCTTTCGCGAGCCATCATCACCGAGGTAGCAGAAAGATGGCGTCAGGATATACCAGCAGAAGATCCAACAGTTTCGCCTCTTCTGGCTGATTTAAGCGTGTTTAAAAAGGCGGATGTACAAGTAGATGGAGTGGTAGGTTTATATGATTCTTTGGCTCCCGACTCAGTGGAGTTCAGAAAGAAATTAGAGATGCAAGGAGTAAGAGGGGAGTGGTTGGAATGGGATAAGCAGATGCATTGTTTTCCGTTGACATTTTCATATAAGATATCCGAGGGTGTGTTTGGGAAGGATTGGATTATTGATGTTTTAAGGCGTAATTTGGAGCAATCGATAGAGAAATAGATTAATCTTAATCTTTTATTGGATATGGTACTGTGTACGGTGTAGCTCCGAATCTACCCGGTCATGAGTATATGAAGGATAGAGGTTATGGCAAGTGCTCTTTGAGATTATTTTGAGCTACACGCCTTTTTACTGGGCTATTAACCCATAATTTTCTGAGTTCCATAGAGCAAGCTGCTATATACTCAGACTCTATTTGAACTTGTAGAATCTTCTCCGCAGAGGGAATGACACTCGACTCCTCTCTTCCTGCAAGATATACAGACGCCAACCAAGCTCACATGGCGTACACATTCGGTCGAATGTTAGGGATTCTTATACCAATAAAATTCCACCTGACTGCAATGCAGGCATATGACGTCTAAGCTGGTAGGCAGCTGGACCGAAAAAAATTGGCCAGGTCGAAGATCAATAGAAATAAACAGACATGTAGACAAAAAGAAAGAAAAAAAGAATCAGACATGCAGAGAAAGAGAAAACTCACTAGTCTTTTCTACAATTTAACATGTTCCGAAGCTTTGGAAACCAGGAGTTTTAGTTCGTCCGCTGAGATTATATCGTGATAATATGCTGCTTTCCAAGCTGGTTCTGGTGTAGCTTTGGATGTGTCTAAGTTTTGGAATGGTTAGTTTTCTCTTTTTCTTGGGATATAAACTGCATTAGATGCATTAGAATAGGATAATATCCAAAGGTTTCCGAATTGCGTCCGAAGGATGAGAAAATCGGGAAAGACGAAAAACGCATGTTGAATACAGCAAAGTGAGAAGTGAGAGTTGAGGAGAAGACATACCAGGTGGACCAATCAATTCAAAGCATCATCCCATTCTCCAACTTCGATTGCTTTTTGTAGGACAGATATAGGATTGTTGGGATTGGAATCTAGAGATGCGGATGCTGACATTGACAGATGGCCGTGAATCTGTAGGCAGAGGGATCTTGATTAGAGAGAGTACATGGGAAAAGGAAGGACGGAGCTTTTTTCAGGGTGTAGCTCTTAATTGAGAGATTTGCAGATTTAGTTCTTGGATGTCAACTCTCGCGTTTTTCTTGCACGTAAATTACACTTTCACAGGAGGATGTGGACATATGTAAGTCCCGGGTATAAAGCATTTACAGAGGTGATAGCGAGAAAATAGTAGATCTTCACATACCTGTACATAGCTCTCCACGCCCGCATCCAGAAAATAAGGCAAAACAACTTGTGCGTGTTCTGTCACCCAGTGATTTGAGAATTCTTGATTCGACATTGCGGGGTTGCGTTTTAAGAGGGCGAGGAAGGTTCGCGGCCGTGGTTTAGAGTTGGGAGAAGGGGAATACATTGTGATTCTGAGATGGATGAATGAATCAATGAATGGATGTTATGAAGAGAGCGAGAAGATAGTGGTAAACAGAATTAAATTATCATATAGAAGGAATACAAATAAATATATACAGCATTGAGCATCCAACAGATGTACTCGGATAGTTACCCGACCATTGGTGGATATCCGAGATGTACTACAAAATCGTACTAAGTATCTACCATACCTTCAATGTACCTACCTCTAAGCATAATGATGTAACATAATTGGACTTGGTTATAAATCAACTACTTGACATTGATGACAAAGACAGAACCCTTTCCTGATATGTACCTTTGAGCTTCTTTTAATCATGAATGGATGTATGGAGTTTAACATGATTCGATGTAAGGATATTCATCGAGATCTGCAATCTAAGGCTCTGAGAGATGAGGAAATCTTGGAATGATCTATGTCTTAGATGTTCTAGGTATTTGATGGAGTTTCTGGTTGTTTATTCTGCTATATGCTTGCTTGTAGGGTAATAGGGTAAATACTCTGAGGGGGGAGGATGGCCCAAATGGGATACAGATGCTTAATACTGGTTGTAATGATACAATAGTAAAACAATAGAGGATTCAAGAGAGAACATTGACGAATAGCACTGAATGAATTGCAATAGTCCATCCTTCCATCCTCAAAGAATCAAAAAGTAGCTCGTATGCACATAGTTTACCACGCATATAGTTCATTGCATTGCAGTGAATAGGTGGGCGGTATACCAACTGCACGAAATCCGAAACACGGTGTAGATTGGCAGCTCGTAGCTTGCAGTTAGCTCGAGATTAATAGGTCGGGAATCGGTATGTTTCTCGTCTTAGCAGTACGATTTGTGTGGAGGGTAGATATATTGAGCTTCAGGAGGCAAATTGAAGATGTGATTCAAGCATACTTGAGCACAAATGATAAAAGGGTTTATTGTCTGTAACAAAGTTTGGTTCGTGAGTGCTGGTGTTTTATAGATACTTATTTATGGGATGGCATGAAAAAGATAGCATTATGCGGATATAGATTGTCACGTTTAACACTAGAAAGAAGTTGTTTTAGACGAGAAACATTAGATACAAGTATTAACTCAGCTCAGGTGGCAATGAAAACGTATGAGAAATTATATTTTGTATTATCAGAAGCTATCCGTTATATAATAGACCATACCATGAATGGCAGACCAAATAACTAAACTATCTGATTCACAATGGTGAAAATGAAGTTATTGAAGTAATATAGGTATACTCCAAGATAAACCCATACCATCAATTCTTACCAGCTCCACCATTCAAAGAAACTTTTCATCCCCATTGCCAACAACCATGACACGAGTCACTTTTCATAAGAGGGGGATCTTTTCAACTAGAAGATCAGAGAAAGAAACCCATCACTTAATACATCTTATCAAGTCCTTCCATCTTACCATCAGCACGCCAATCCTCCAACAAATTTCCCCACGCACTAGCACCTTGTCCATAAACAGCAGTCTGTCCACTGACCTCTGGATGCTTGCCAGCCATTCCTTCACCATTGAAATAGCTTGGTGTGCATTGAGTGAAATATTGCAACATAGGTGCACTTCCCTGCAAGATATCATGGACCCATTGACCCTCGGCTTCTTTACTAGCTTCAACGGCCTTGATATCCTTCTTCTTGCATTCAGAGATGATATAGGCGGTATGTGTAGATTGATTAGTAAGTGTATACATGAAGTTTGCTGAGACACCAGATTGTGTTGTGCCGAAGAAGAAATAGTTTGGGAAACCGTGGGTTTGGAATCCATGGAAGGTGGAGGGACCCTTCTTCCACTTGTCATCGAGGATGAGACCATCGCGTCCAGTGACAGTGATACCCGAGCGGCGTTGATAAGTGGTTGTAACCTCGAAACCGGTAGAATAGATGAGAACATCAACAGGATATTCGACACCATCAACGATGACGCCAGCTTGGGAGACACGATCAACACCCTTTCCGTTTGTATCGACGAGTTGAACATTTTCGCGGTTGAAGAGAGAGAGGTATTCGTCGTGGAAGCAGGGACGCTTGCACATGGATGAATACCATGGCTTAAGCTTCTCGGCAGTCTCCTTATCTTCAACGAGTTCATCGACTCGAGCTCGAATACGTTCCATGAGTTGGAAGTCTGCCATCATCATCATCTGACCCAATTTAGCTTGATCGGTACAAGCATCTGCTTTGCCCAAAATAGACGTAGCAGGGTTGAGAGTCCAACCATCGTTAACAAGATCCTCCTTTTGACGACAATTGGAAATCCGATCATTGAAGTTCTCCATTCGATCTTGTTGCCATCCAGGCTTGAGATTTTGACAGAAGCTTGGTGGAGTAGGCTTGTTGTTTCGAACATTGATCGTGGATGGTGTTCTCTGAAAGACGTAGACGTGCTTTGAGGCTTTAGCGAGATGAGGAAGCATTTGGACTGCGGTTGCACCAGTGCCAATGACACCAACACGCTTATCAGCCAACCTGCTAAGATTACCGTTGACATCACCTCCAGTAACGCCATAATCCCATCTAGATGTATGAAAAGACTTTCCTGCAAAAATCTCCATGCCTTCAAGGCCTGGAAGCTTGATCTTGTGGAGGACACCCGTAGCAGTGATAGCGAACTTGGAAGTGAAATGATCGCCACGGTTGGTCTCGGTCTTCCAAGAAAGAACATCCTCATCCCAGGTCATTGATTTTGCTTCGGTCTGGAAAACTGTCTTTTCCCTGAGACTGTAACGTGTGACGAGCATCTCAATGTGCTTATGGATCTCGGTAGTGCGAGCATACTTCTCAGTTGGAACGTAGCCAAGCTCTTCGAGCAAGGGAAGGTAAATGTAGGATTCAATGTCACATTGAGCACCTGCAAGTTGACAATTAGCAAATATCAACAAGTTATGAGAGTGTGGCAATTGAAATTCAAGTTGAAGGGGAGAAAACAAACCTGGATACTGGTTCCAATACCAAGTCCCACCATAACCGCCACCCTTTTCAAGAATGCGGAAATTGGTTACACCTCTTTGAGAAAGGCGGGCAGCAGCCAACAAACCACCATAGCCACCACCAATAATCAGTACCTCAGCAGAATCGATAATTGGTTCACGTGGGACAATCTCGTCAATGAGGACATCATCTTGGAATCGAGCAAAGTTGCCAGTAGGTTCCTTGTACTGAGTGAGTCCATCCTCACGAATACGCTTCTCTCGCTCGAGAATGTACTTTTGTGCAAGAGCTTGAGGGTCAAATGGGGAGGAAGATTCAGGAAGGATTGCAATAGTTGCAGACATTTTGGAAGATGACAGTACAAACTGAATTTGTAAGAAGAGAAGAGAAGCGATTGTGCTGATCTGGAAGTGGTTTAATGTTTTTCTGAAAGGACAAGATTGTATAAAAGTTTGCTTGACTGTATGAAAAAGAGGTTCGAGTTGATGAGGTAGGTCGAGAGCTGTGTTGTTTGTGGGAACAAAATATTATCCGAAGACAGGACCGAGAGGGACTTTTATATCTAACCAAGAAAGACGATGACGATATCGGAGTAAACAAAAGGAGCTTTAATTTTGACACACTTTTGTCTAGGCAGCCCTTTCAGCCCATTATGTATTCATCCGTTCTCAATAAGGTAGCTATCAATGGTGAATGTCATCACAACTCACCTTTGGAATACTGGAACCACGTATTCACTGTTTCACCATAAGAGTAGTTCTTACTATATTCGATTCATTTAGTACTCATAGTGGTTACAGATCGTCTAGTCTTGCGGAGAATTTTGTTAGAATAACAAAGTTCCATCCAGCGTTTCGTGCATGAATAGCTTCGAACCATCGATTCCAGAATACAACTCGAGGGGTAAGAACGCCATCGAGGGGAGCTTTAGACTTTGAGATCTGAGACAGGAATTTAGGAAGAATGTTCCTTCCTCCCGCCAACACTTGTACAGATCAATTCATTTTATATTGGGAATCGAAAGGTTCGTTGGAGTTGAAGAAGATGGTATCACGGGAACGGGCCACAGCATCACTACCGCTCCAATGTCTCATCTCAACCGTGAAAATTTCCCGATGTGAGTGACAAAAGTACAGACAGAAGCATAACTGGAACTTAAACCCCGCTTAGGATCAGACCATACGCCACTTGTGACAAATATCAAGTGAAAGTAGCCGTTAGATACACCCCACTATGTCAAACGTCAAAGATGCAGGCGGACAGAAACATATGTATATGATCAGATTGATGTTGCTACGAGAATAGATAATGAGAATCAATAGAAGTTTGTACATGAAGTGATCATTAATATGCATCATAATATCATACATGCCTCTATCCGTAAATACTTCATCCATCAAGAAGACCAACGGTCCATTCGGTAATCTTCTCAACGCCATGTCCGTTGATTGCACTGATGGGGATGGCCTCTACTTTTCCTTTCCATGGATTCTGCTGTCTTGAAGGATGTTCTTCGTTTCCCGCTGCGACTTCCCTCAAGTACGACTTCAATTGTTGAAAGTTGTCCTGGGTACCAGGCAAATCTGCTTTGCTAGCAACGACGAACCAAGGTTTGTTGGAGATTGACGGGAGATTAGGTGCGAGGGGGTTTTCGAAGGTAGGTCCACTGTTCACCACAATTGTTTCGGATCGATTTGCCACTGCATCCTCGACAGAGGTGAAGGGAGTCCATTCCACAACTGGATTTGCCTTCTCTTTCTCCTCTTCAATCTTCATCCGTTCATATTCAGCGAGCTCTCTCCATAGGCCTTTCAAAGCTTCGACAGCATCGCCTCTCCCAAGATCCACAACAAACGCGAGAACTCGAGCTCGTTCAACATGTCGAAGGAAGCTTATACCAAGACCTCGATCTAAATGGGCATCTTCGACCAAACCAGGAATATCTGCAATGGTAAAATTTGTCCTTGGTTCTCCAGTTTCGTAATGTGATTGAGCCAAAGGTCTGCCCTTATTGTCATCAATAATCACAGTACCAATATTCGGCT